AAAATATTTTACCTGATGAAAACGAAGAAAATCGTTCGATAGATGTTTTAGGATGATGATGGTGATGATGCGATCTTCGAATTCACTCTGATGATGCTGCTCCTCATGAAGTAGTTGATGGATTTTCTTTCATCAGATAATTCAACCCTATAAACCTACAACAGTGGACCTTTCTCCCAAAATATTAAGAGAAATTTGCAAATAATTTGAAATCCGACATCCATAGAAAAAGCTAATTAGCCTCAAGGATCATAGAAAATCGGCGCACATGAATGTTTGCTGATCGACTGTAAATAATATCAAAATTTGTTCTCCAGAGAAGATTTCGTCTTCGTCATCATGCTTATGGAATAAGATTATGAATAGACAGCTCTGTTGACCATAAGTGGATTCTTTTAAATTGCAGGGTCTCCAGTTGAGTATCATTCTTAGAAATATCATCACCTTCAAAGAGAAGTATCATCATTTTTAATGTCGTACGTTACTTCATTGGAACGTATTTCATATCGTTTCTTCATGATCAGACCCTATTTTATTTTTTTTTAAAAGAATGCTGAAATTATGCAAGTACGTTAAAATGAATAAAAGTTCACTATTTTTAGAGAGAGATAGTATGAACTCTGAAAAAATTTCTATCAATTCAATTATCCTGCTAATTATAAATGATTTGTTATCCGATTTTATCTACAATCAGCATAAAAAAATATAACAAAAGCTTTCCAAAATAGTTTTTTTTTTGCTTTCATTCAATCCATAAAATGCAGGAATCAACTGCTGATTACAAATCAAAAATATTCGGTACCAAACATTATTAGTTTGATCAATCCAAGAATGGGGTGATCTTATTGTTTCGATGGTGAAACAAACTTTAAAAGATAAACAGTCACAAGACAATTAATTACAATTAAAAATGTTGTACGAATTGCTTTACATTAGTTTCTTCGTTTAATTTGTGTAGGTAATTTATTTGTTTTTTCCAATTTTTTTTTTGATTTCGGTGAAAAGTTGAAGTGAATTCTGGCCAATGATGCAGTCTTACAGGTGAGGTTAATTATAATTGGTACAAAGAACGCTCTTGATAGATCAATAAGTCATTTTCTTTGTTGGGACCATGTATTTTATTGGTTAAACTAATAAGTTGTTCTTTAAGGAATAAACTTGCATTGATATTATGCCATTTGACCTGTATGGTGATTGTTTGGATCTCTACATTACTGCGGCATGAAGTACTGCGGTCCGAGCGGCCGAAGTCCGAGAGTCAAATGATTTTCCGTTCACAATTTACTAAAAATTTCATATTATACTCGTTTTGAATTAGAAATAATACGTGTTGAACGACGATAAGACTTATTATGAGTTTTGCATGTGAACGGTAAATAGTCGATTTTTGATAAATGAGGAAATTGTGGCTGTCATTATATTTAATTAAAACTAATTGTAATAAAAACGAGTATTTAAAATGAAATTCCTTTTATATCTTGCATCTACACAATTCGACTAATAAAATAATATGTATTATCCTTCTTTTATAATAGGTCACAAACCTATTATAATTAAAAATAATCAAATATTTTTTAAAGTTCGATCTATTATTCACGGAGTGAATATCCCTAGATTGGTTAAACCCTTCTTTTTTTTTTTTTTTTTTTGATGTAAAAATGATCCTACGAATTACCATCACGAATTTCATTGTTTGTTAAATTACGAAAGCTTTTTGCGTATTTTTATAATTTAATAGACCAACAAATATAAGATATGAGATTTTGTAAAAAAGTAGTAAGAATCATTCTATCGTGGAACCGGGCTGTGACTTTCGGAAAATAAACCAAAAATAGGTTTCCCAGTTTTATTTAACAACTTACGTTTTTCTTGCTTAGAAACTAGTAAAAGGGATCTTTAAGATTCCACGTGATGTTGATTGTGAGCATTGTGGAAATTGATTATAAAATGGCCGTGCCTCCCATTTCAGATGTGCGAAATCTTTTTTTTAGAAAAAATAAAAAAAAGCAAGCTCAATATTTTTAAAATAAAAATATTACCATTCATCACCACATGTATTAATTGTATTAATTGAAAATTTTTTATTACTTTTTATTTTCTTAAAAAGAATAAAATTGTACATACATCCTGTTGTACATAACAACGAGTTTTAAGTTAAAATACTTTACAAACAAATTCATCAAAAAGACGCATTACGATTCGTACAATCGACCTGCAACCTACTACAAATTATATACGAAAAGGTAAAAAAGTGTAAAATTAATTTAATATTATTTGTTAGTTTACCTAATCGAAAATAATAATAATAATAAATTATAATGATAAATAAATTGGAATCTTTGGAGTTTTCTTCTTCAATAATCTTCTTTTGCTTTTTTTTTCTTTTTACTGTCTTTTCACTTTCACATTCCTTTTCACTCCTTTTCCCTTAACGATTTTTTAATCCATTTCTCGAACAACGCACATCCCCATACCATCCATTACTTCCCGATTTATCTTATTTATCCAATATTTGTGATATTTGTGATATTTATTCTCAAACCTATTTTCTTCAAACCAGTACCATTTTTTCTATAGTTAAAAATAAAAAAAAACAAAAAAAAAAAAATAAATAAATATTTTCAACTTTTCAAGAAAATAATAACCACCTTTACAAAATTCCAAAATTTTATAATTCAAAAAGAAAAAATTATTCATACATAATACTTTCGTCTTTTTCAACTAAAACCATATAACACGCACAGCAATGAACTCTCCGGTAATGGAATTACCAGAAAAAATTTCTCCTCGTCACCAGTCCATTCCTTTATTCACCACAACTTCCTTCGTTGGAACCTTAGACACCGAAGCAATCGACAGTCGGGAATTTATTTCAAATCCAAAACGTTTCACAATGCCGGCTCCTGGTTCGCCTAGAAAACGTGGTTATCAAAAGCCTACGAAACCTAGGGAATTTGCTAAAAGTGCAAAGAAAAGACAGAGCGTACTTGCTTTAGGTTCCATAACCCACTTACAACACTTTTACGCTAAACGTGGTATAATCATAAAACCAAAGAAACCAAAGCACGTGTAAGCATTTCACGCGGAGTTTTCATTTTCACGTGTATAGAAATTATCCTTTTCGTTAATTTTATTAATTTTAATTTTTTTTTTTTTTTTTTTTTTTTTTTTTTTAGAGAGGAAGCAGAAAAGAAAAAAATGGCCCTTAGTATAAATACGAATGTTTCAGATTTACTCAAGGTTACAGAGGAACCCGAAGAAGACCTCCCCCCAACTCCACTTCCACCATCACCGCCCCCTCTTCCAGCTTACATCACTTCTAAATTAGATGTGGAAACAGATCCTGAAGTGTTACTTGCAACATGTCATGGTGATATTCAAGCAATGATAGATGCTTGGTGTATGGTGACCGGTGAAGTTAAAGCCGAAGAAAATCCAGTGCCTGTTGATATATTAGCGGCCATAGAGACCACCACGAGGGCTGTTCAATCGGTAAAAAATTATTCCCTGTTTAAAGAAGATTTATCAACGGAATCAATGTCAAAAATTCGTGGTGCTGCCTTGGAAGTATTGGAGATGATTAGCGATTTGGAGCAATCACACAGAGACGATGACGACAGTAGCAGTGAAGATGGTCATATATACAAAGAATCAAATTTTCATTGTTTAGATAGACAACGTGATATATTAAGAAGATATTTGATGGTGGTTGAGGAATGTCTATTATTTGATGATAGTGATATGTATCCTCCAAATACATCTTATTTAAAAAATTCATCAGTTAGTTCAGATGATGAATCGAAACAAGGAACTGCCCCTTTTACTCCTCCATTATCACCCGGTCATCCAAATAACGATTGGGTAAATCCTGATGTATATGGTGGTAATGTTTTTGCGAGATATCATGCTTTCTTGGAAGCTCATCGACCTTCAAAATCTAAACGATATCCTGATTACACACCCCTTCCCAATCCTTGTCTCGACAAAACCGAATTCTTGGCTTCGTTGGCGTGAGTATCCTTAATACCCAGTTTTACGATGCACTATGACTTTATCTAATTTAAAAATAATTTTTTTTTTTTAAAAAAAAAAAAAAAACAGTGACGGTAAATTATTATGTGAGATATATAATACGATAGTAAAACGATCGAAACGACCATTTGGATTCATTGATAAAATTCATGAGGATACATCAAGAACTTATCGTGCTACGGAAAATTTAAAATTCTTTGCTGCGTAAATATCTTTTCAACCCATTTCAAAATGTTTTCTTTCGGTATAATGATAATTATTAAATTGAGAAATAAATTTTTTTAATTTAAATAGTGCCGCCAAGTTTAGATTTGAGCTTAAATTTGATGAATTTAATGTAACAGAGATTGTCAAATTAACGAACGTTGGCAAAACTCAAGTAAGTCTTAACTTTTTCTTTAATAATTATATTTCCATTTCATTGTTACTTTTACTTACTTTTTTTCGCTGGTTCGTCGGATATAGCTTGAACGAATTCTTGAAGTATTTTGCGAAAAAGCCATGCAAGAGCTTATATCAACAGGATCTTATAAACAATATCCATCATCGAGAGTATCCAGCATGTATATGCACGAATCTCTTTCAAATTCACAAATGCAATTACTTCAGCAAGCAACGACAAAGTCAGCGAATGATTTAGCTGCAGCTGTGTCTGCTAAGTTGTCGATTCGTCCACACGGTTACGCGTCATCAACAAGTACACCATCTCCAACATTATCAAGGAATAATAGTGATGATGAAATTTAATAATTGAATTGTTCAAGATAGAATAAAAGAGATAATTTGAATAAAATGGACATTGATTATGCCAAAAAAAAAAAAAAAAAAATAGAAAATAAAATGATTGGTAAAAAATTCTATTACTTTTTAGTGTTTTGTGTGGATTTTTTTTTAATTTTAATTCCTTATATACATACATATTATTATCACTTATGATTTATTTCTCGCTGGACGGATTTAAAATGGATATTACATTTATATTTTTTATTATTTATGAATTATATTATATTTTTATTTTGCATTCCGATAACATATATTACCTATTTAGTATTTTATTAATAATTTTCAAATTTACAAAATTTAATGGACGTCTTCTTTTTGTATAGCTTTTTTTATATTATCTATATATATAATTTTTTTTTTTAAGAATTGTATTAATTTGTTTTGAACTTGCTCTTAAAAGAAAAAAAAAATTTATTTGTAGGAATTATTAGTTAATTTTTTAAAACGAAAAAAAAAAAAAAAACTCTTTGAAATTAATGATTTTTAGGAATAAAAGAAAAAAAGAGTAGTTGCATAGATCAGACAGATTAGACCGGAGTGATGGGGTTTTAATTTATTTACCTTTGTTAATGTGTATTTTTATTTTATTTGAAACCAAAACTTTATTATTATTCAGATATCATTAAAAAAATCCTTTAATCTGCAGTGAAATCTTGTAAAATCCCGTAAATCCTTGGTAAACAAATATGGTAAAATGAATATTTCCATTTTGTAATACAAATAAATTACAATAATATTTGAGAAACAACAAATAAATTGGTTCGGCAATTAATCTAGAAAGTTTCTTAAAACGAATTGATAAGCTACTTTAATTGGTTTACTTTCACTTCCATTTTCAAGTGCAACCATATTTGACAAATTATTCCATAAATGCACTCGCACTTTTAATCCTTTTAAACAATTATTCATCTCGAAAAGATAGTTTATTACATCATCATCAACATTCATTATTTTAATTCTCTTTTTTTAGAGATCGAAAATCAAATTCAGAGTATAAACAAATAATCATTTATTGATATAAAAGGTTAACCATATATTTATATGTGCGTATATATGAAGAAAGGTTGATACTAAAATGGATCATTGAAAAGTTTCATGTGAAATCGAATTACAGGGAATTATTTTTTGAGAAAAAAAAATCTCTATATTAACCTAATTTTGGTAAAACCAACAATCCGAAATTTTTTTTTTTTTTCGATAAACGCGTATTCATCATAGAGCAAAGAAAGGATCTTTTTTTTTTATTTGTCGTGTCCGTTCCCAACCTAGCAAAGTAATAATCTCCAATCTATAATGCAAGTCTTTGTAAATTAGGAAGGATGAAAGTATGATATTAACAATACGTAATAATGCAAAAAATTAAACTGATCCAGGATGTTGTGACATTTACTAGATATGGTAGTATAGTGTAAAACCTTTAATAAAAAATAAATATTTTATATGTTAACTTCCACATCACATTGCATTACATAATTCATTCAACATCCTCATCTCTAAAGAATTCTTGATAACATAATACAAGTCTATTTCGTAAAAAAAGAAAAAAGAAAAAAAAAAAAAAAGGCCATAAATAGAGCCCCTATGTAGGGAAGACGTTGTTGGTATCCATTCGACTTACTTTAATAACGTTTTTTCACCAATCTTTTCCTCCTTTGAACGAATTTGAATCAAATAAATCGTTTTTTATCAAAAAAATTTTTTTTTAAAAAAAAAATAATATCATATTTATTCACACTTCTCTGTTAAGAAATTAATTTAATTGAAAGAGTTTTTTAAAGATTTAATTTGTACTCTAAATTTATCGATCGTATGCCAGCACGACGTAAAGCAGCGGAATCAGCTACAACGCCACGAAAGACAAAGGATAGTGCTGGTGGTAGCGTTGATGGTTCACAAAAGTACACGGTATACGTGAAAGAACGTTCGAGCGTGACAAGTTTATTACCACCGGACGTAAATCCTTTTTCAAGGGAAGAAGCAATATATTGGCAATTATCCTTTCCTAGTCAGAATGATCCTGATATCGGAATTGCTCCTCCTCCTCCTCCATCCGGAACCCGAGAGATCGATACGGGAGGAGTTGGAGGAGTTGACAGAGTTGTCATCAATCAAGGAGGCAATCCAAGATATGTAATTAGATCATTGGAATTTGCAAACACAGGTCTTAATTCTGTATGGTCGAAAGCCACCGGCAATAAATTATTAAAATATTTAATATTCTTCACCATACTATTACCATTCTTATTAATATTATCAAATTCAAAAGCTCTAGATGAGAATCAAAGTTTCATGGAAAATTTTCCAGAACATTTACGTTCAGTCAAACTTTTGTTTTCGCAATTGGATAGTACGACATATAAAATTCAACCAATTGGAGAGAATGACGATTTGAGCAACGAAAACAACAACAATAATAATAATCGTAATGGTGACGTTAATAATAGCATAACATTTACGCTAGAAGACTTGAGAAAGATCATTGTGGCAGAAGTAAGGAATCATATGAAATCCGAACATGACAAAGCTTTACCATCAATGCCGATTGAACCAAATACCGAACACATTCGTAACTTGGTAAGCCATGAAGTTAAACAAATCGCCAACGAAGTTAAAAACGAAGTGAAAAGGGAAATATCTATTCGTACGAGTTCGAGACCGAGAGGATTTAGAGGGGTGGAAATGATTGAGATAATCCGTCAAGAAGCGCGGAAGGTGGTCCTAGAGGAATTATTGGTATTCTCTCAAGACAAGATAAACAAACCAGATTTCGCATTACATTCGAGTGGTGCCAATGTGATAAGTAGGTTCACAAGTAAAACTTATGAATTATGGCCTGATAAATGGTATAAAAAGACAGCCGCGTACCTATTCGGACAGGGTATCTTACGTGGTAAACCACCTGTGACGGCAATTTCTCCTGATACTCATGTTGGGCAATGCTGGCCATTCTCAGGATCCGAAGGTCAATTGGCGATCTTACTTAACAGGAGAGTTTACGTTACCGCGGTTACTTATGATCATGTTAGCAGAAATGTATCGATTGATGTACATTCGGCTCCAAAGGAATTTGAAGTATGGGGGATAATCGATGATGGAAAGGATCGCAAAGAAAGTGAAACAGAAGAGAATGGGGATTTAGATGTCGAACCATTTGAAGAGAGTTACATGGAATCAATCGAAGAAGAATGTGGTATAAGACAGGAAGGTGAATATGAACCCGATAGGAATTTTCACTTTCAAGTTAATGGTAATTCAAATGATGGCTTGGGCGATTTGGATCTTATGGATAACATAACTAGCGAGGAATTACATTTAGGCAATTCTCCCCTACATTTATTCTTGGGCAGATATGTTTATAATATTAGTTCTGTACCCGTACAAACTTTTGAAGTGCCACAAGAGATTTTGGAATCGAATAAACCGGTTCGAGCGGTTATCATGAAAGTTAATAGTAATTGGGGTAAACCTGGTTATACTTGCCTATATCGTTTCCGTGTACATGGCAATCCTGTCGATATGTCGGATAATTAATTTTATTAATTTTATTAATTATTATTATTATTATTTTTTTTTTTTTTTTTTTGTATAAAAGTATATATACATATTACCTTATTATTATTATTAATGACGATAAATAAATAATAAAAAAAAATGCATACACATATATTCATATCATATATTTATTTTCCCACATATCAATATGCCCACGCAGGCTTTTTCGTACATACATGAATCCCCACACAAATCATCTAAAGTTTATGCAAGTTGCACCATTTTTTATTACTTGTTTATTGCATGTTTATTGCATCATATTATCTATCTATTTATAATCATATTAGACTCATTATATTAATTTATATCAAGTCGTAATTATCTACAATCATTTTATTTACATATTATATTATTAAATTCTATATAATACACATAAATAAGTTCTATAATCTATAACAATAAACCATAAACTAATTATTAATAATTAAATTAACCATAATAAGTATAAAAACCTTATGAATACTATTACAAAATAGTGATGTTATATTTTACTTTTGGAATCGGATTCTATCCTTTCTTGTCTTTCTATCGTACTTTTATTACTGATGTCAATGTTTCCATCATTTCCATTCTTCTCTTCTTCTTCCCATAACCCTAACCCATCAACATTTTGATAGAGACATGCATTAACTATACCTATTGGTATATCATGTAATTCTGGAACAAAATCATCGGTTATACCAGATAATTGTGATAAATTCTGTCCTATGTTTGCATGATCGTCTAATGATTTCATAAATGAATTGATCAAATGTTTATTAATTTCATGGAATTTTGCTGGAACGTATCTTACCTGTTATGGTATGATAAGAATCATATGGCGCCGTGTTTAAAAAATTGATTGATAATATTACTACATATAAAAAAAATGACAGCACAAATGACCAGACTGGTAATGCGAGTGCCCAATACCTGGAAATATCATAATGAATTAAATATATATATATATATATTTTTAAAAAAAAGAAGGTTAAAACGTACCTATCCGGATAATAAGTTATTCCTAATGATATTAATATCTCATCCGGTAAATATGCCCATAACAAATATATCACTAATAATTTCAATTTCGATCATTCAATTTATGATCATAAAGAAAAAGATTCTTTGCAAGTAATTTTTTTTTTGTGTGTGAAGATATAAATTACCGAATGCGATGAATGAAGATAAATATAGAACGAATCCGTAATATTCGTACGTCGGTGTTTTAGTTAATGTTGTTGGAGACTCGTCCGTTTGATATATATTCGTCATGCTAAAATAAAAATGTTTCTCGAATTAGAACGAAATGGTTCCCCTTTGGGAGTTAAGAGAAAAAAAAAAAAAACTTGTCCTTGGTAACTTACCCAGAAGAATAATTCTTTAATCGATCATTGTGTATAGTTGATGTTGAAACTTCATCTTGTTTCACGGGATAGTTGCTATTCGACGTAGTTCTCTTGAGTCTTCAAAGTTAATTAAAATAAGTAAACATCCTATCAAAAGTCAACTCTCAAAGTATCAGTAAACGAAATCAAGTTTGAATTGAATTTTTTTTTTTACCCGAGGGGTCTTGGCGTTCTAGTAGAGATTGGTTTTGATTGGTGTGATGTCGATGTTGACGAAGACTGACCTTGACTGTGTTCGTTATTTCTTCCGTATTTAAAATAATTATCAGCTGTTCCTGAACTAAATAAGCCATTATTAAAGTTCATAGATCGTGACTTCCCTATTGGCAAAATCTTTATTATAAGAAAATCGCGTTTTTCGTTTTTCCTAAAAATTTTGGTTTTTTTGATGGAAAATTATAATTGGCTGGAAAATTTTTTACATAAACAACTAATGTTGTACAGGTTTATAATCTGATTTTTTTAACATTAATCTTTTTTATATATAGTATTAAATAATCATTATTTTTTTATAAACTTTTGAAATATATATATATAATATATTGTAAAAAATTATAAAAAGTAAAAGTTCTTAAATTTATTATTTTAAAGAAAATATTATATTAATTAAATTTTTTATAATTTTTTAAATTTAAAAAATTTATAAATCTTTTATATTTAAAATAAAAAATATAAAAAATATATAAGCATTTTGTAGTAGAAAGGAAAGAAATTACCAAAAAAAAATTTTTTTTACTTTATAAACTAAATATTATATTTTTAGTAAAATAAATCCAAATTTAATATTAACTCAAAAAAAATTTTTTGATAGTTTTCTTCCTTTCTATTACAAAGTGCCTATATAAGATTTTTATAATAAAAAATCAAGATTTATTTATCAAAATATAGATTAATATTTCATTTAATTTTTATTTACTATAAAAATAGTAAATAAAATATAGTATAAATTTAAAATTAGTAATAATTAACAAGTATTATATTTTAATTATATAATATTTAATTATCAATATTGATAAATTTTAATCTTAATATACAATTAAAAATTTTTAATTAGATTAATATCAAAGTTAAAAAACAATTAGATAGTTAAGAATAAGTAAAAAAAAATAAGTAAACAAAACAAACAGTATCTTCAACTATTTGCTTACATCTGTAATATAAATAGATTTATTATTTTCTTTTAGAATTTTTTGTATTAAAATTTCATGTTATGTAGTTTTAATAACACAATTAACTAAAACTAAAATTTAAACTAATCTAAGAAAAATACAAGATTAAAGTTTTTTTTTTTAAATAATAGTTATAATATAATCTTTATAAACTCTTTAAAAGATTTATATTATATATAACAAAACTTAAAGTATTACATTATATGTAATAATAAACTTATCAAATTAGATTATCTTTAAAATTATTATTATTCAATTTTATAAATATGAGTAATTATATTAATTTTATATTATTTAAAAATTTTATAATTTATAATTATAAATATTTATTATTATTAGAAATCTATTTTTAACTTTATTATTTTTATTATTAATTTATAAAATTAAATTAAATTTTTTATTTTTTATTTCTTTATATATTTTTTTAGATACTAAATATAAAAAAGTAGTTATTATTAAATTTATTAATTTTTCTTAAAAAATATTTTATTTAATAGTAGTATTAAATGAAAATAACTTTTAACTTAATAATTATATTTAATAAAATTATTACATTAAATTTATTTAATGAAAGCTTTCTAATAAATATAAGTATGGTCTTTTAGGATCAATTGTTAATAAGATATTTTTTAAATAGATAATTAATAGATAATTTTATAAATTATTATCAAAATAATTATAATTTTTTAACCACAATCCAATGATCAAATAGCTAAAATTATAAAAATGATGAAAATTATTATAATATAATTAATAAAGTTACATATATTAATATAGTTAAATTAGTTTATTAGTTTAATATATTAATAAAATTTATAATAATTTTAAGTATACTTTATCTTTAATTAGTAAAAGAGATTAATAATTTTGTATAATAAATAAAAATTTCTCTTAGAATTGTAAATAAGTGAATAAGTTAAATAAATCAAATATTAAATAGTTTAATTTTAATATAAAATATTTACACAATATAGAGCACTAATTAAAATAATACTTTTTTATTATTTTTATTTAAAATAAACTATTTAACATTAATATATCTCTTAAATTAATTATAAATTAATCTTTTACTTATCTTTATATTTATCAAATATTTATAATAAATAAGTATTTTAAAGGATTGACTATTCATTAAAGTATAAGTATAAAATTAATTATAAAATATTGAAGAAAAATTATTAGTCTAAAATGAAGTAAAAGACTATATAATACTATGTAAAGTGATATAAGATATTCTAATATTCATTTGCTTAACAATTAAGTCAATACTGATTAATTTTATAATTATACAAAAATCTAAATAAGTAAATATCAGTGTAAATTTTATTTAATTAAGATTGTTTCAGACTTAACAATAATTCCTATTTTTTAGTAATATTTTAATATCTAATAATCATAAAAAGATAAAATAAAGTTTATTAGATTTATTATATTAAGATATATTTAATGATAGTATTTTTAAATTTTTAAAATTAGTAATTATTAATATATATTAATTTTCAATTTTTTAAAATAATTTATTATTTAATGATTACAAAAAAAAAAAAAAAATTTAATTATTAGATCATTTTATAATGTTTATTAAATATATTTTTGAAATCAATAAATAGTAAAATATATAAGTTTAAATATTTAATTTTTTTCATAATAATTTATTATATATTTATCTTTAAAGATTATTAATTAATTACTTTTTTTAAAAAATTTTTACTTAAAAAATATCATAAATTTTATTATAAACATATTAATTTTTAAATAAGTTATTATAAATATATTTAAAATTATTATAAATAATTTTAATTATTAAATAAAATTGCAGATAATTTTTATTGCAATACGCTTGAAAAGATAACAATAAAATGATTATTTAAATTTTTTACTTATTTATATACTAATATAATTTAATAAAAATATTTTAACAATAATTGATTTGTATTATAAAATATTTATTATTATTATTTATTAGTATTATATACTGTATATTTTAAAAATTAAAAAAAATAAAATTATTTTTTATGAGAATATTAAAATAAAAAATATAAATGTAATCATCTTATTTTATTTTATTTTTGATAGATTTTATTAAATTATATGAAAATATTATTAGTAAAATCAAGTTATAAAAATAGTAAATTATATGATTTATAATAAGATTTTATAGTTAATATTAATATATTAATGATATTAATAATATATTTATTTTAATAACTATTATATATAAGTAGTAATTTAAAATATTTAATATAATAATAATTATTATATATATATATTATTTTTTTTTTTTGATGTGGCACTGCCAGTAACTTTATTAAATTTATATATAAGGAAATACAAAGTAAATCTAAAATAAATCTATGCTAAGTACTAGCTATCCTCCGTAGTTATATTACAAACCTGTTTGAATCAACCTATCATCATCTAATAATTATTATATATAATAATAAATATGATTATATATATTATAAATTATATAAATAAATATAAAAAGTAAAAAGTAATATTTATATATATTATTATATAAGTGAAGACATTAATGATAATAATCTAAAAAATGATAATAATCACTAGAAAATCATTTATGTCTTATGTCTTTTATGTTATCTATACTATTTATTTCTCCTGTTTAATATATTATTTTTATTTATTTTATCTTATTTATACCATTTATTTATTATATTATATTTATTTCATTTATTATTTTAATAAATTTATGTGTTTAATTTTATATAAATACAGAAAGAGTCTTTTTAGCTTAGTAGTGTGTCTAATTCATATTTTTTAGATAGTTTATTCTAATTCCTTTGAAAACATTTTTATAGTATAAAATACTGACTGAGATAGTATTTATTTATTCATAATTATTAAATAAATTATTTGCTAATTAACACTCTTCTAAATCAACTATAAAATTAACCTTTTATTTACCATTTGAAATTTTCATATTGTTTATCACTTATAAGTATTTAAAAAACTGATCATAACTATATTTTTAACTTTTTAATTTAATAAAACTAATTATTTAACTTTTTAGTTTAGTAATAATAATTATTTTACTAATAATTATAATTAAAATTAAATAAAATAATTAAATATTTTATTAGAAATTAATTTTTAATAATAAAACAATTTTTTTTTTTTACTTTTGTATTTTTTAGAAATTTTTAAAATAAATATTATAAAGATAGAATAGTAATAATTATAAATAATTATTTTTTTATTTTAATTATTTTTTTATATTTATGATTTTATTAAGTAGAAATTTTAATATAAATTACTTATATAAAATTGATTTTATTAATTAAATATTAAAATTATTATATAAAAAATTATTTATAATATAATTATAATATTACATTACTTAAATTTATTATTTTAATAAAAAAAAATTATTTAATATTTTTATAAGCAAATTTATCATATTTCTCTAAAAATAAACACTCTCCAAAAATAAGCATCACCAAGATTTATTAGTACCTGAAAATAAGCATCCCCACAATTTATTCAATTAAAATCTAATTATTATTTATTATTATTTCAGCACTCATATATATATTATATAACTTATTGTAAAAATGTTTATTTCAATAATTTTAAATGCTATCACCTTAATCACTATTAATGCTATTATTGTTATCAATACTATTGTTACTGTCACAATCACTATCAATATATATAGCATCCAAATTATTATCTTCATTTTCATCTGCATTCTCATCTATATTCTCATATTCACTTTCATCTTTGTTATCATCTCTACTTTCATTAGATCTGTTTAAAGAATTTGATATCTTACATTTTTTAAAGGATCTGATAATAATTTCATCTGAAATTACTTTCTAAGAACATTTAACCCATATGCAAACATCACTTAATTTTGCCTGATGAAGGTTTCTCGCAGAAGTTGTTCCTGCATTACCTTTGAATATTCAGCTATACCATTCTTTTCGTAGATTTTCTTTAAATAGTTTATTGATTGCAATATCAAACGATTGCCAAATGCTAGTCAATCTGTCTAAAATGATCACCAAATTATATCCACTTTTGCGAAACTTTAATTTTACTAATTCTTCAATATAACTTCTAAATGAATCATATACTAACATTACTAGAATATTGTTAGTTCTTGCATCGTTAAGA